CCATTTTTCTAGTCTGCAAACGAATAAGCTGACGAAGAAGCAAACAAATTCAAGCACATTGTTGCATTCTACCGTACATTTTAAAAGCTTTAAAATCTTAAAACATATGTGAAAAACTTTTATAATCTGAATATTTCTAATGTCGCAATCAAAACCAAATTTTATAAATAGCATTTTTAAAAAGCAATCATCTAATATTTTTCAAGTTTTTGGGCATATATGTTACCATTTGAACAACAAATACTACCAAGTTTTAAGAGACTATTTAATGCAACTCAGGTCAAAAAAGCGCACTTTAGACCAAAATAAGCAACTCTAAAAAACAGATGATCGCAGCTGTGGCCCAGGATGACGTCTATTGCTAAGATATCTCACTTGTATTTGTACACAATGAATTCATCAATGTACGCTTTTGATCAATTTAATTTTAATCAATTGAAGCTTTTAAAACATTAAGTAAATTTATTTACAAGCAATATTTAATATTGTGTAATACGTTTTTTGCCACCAGAAATTCCATTTCCTAATATTTTATTGTTTTTGCTTAAATTTGGGGATGAAAAATTATACATATCAACAATCTTTGTTTAGGCAAGTCAAGAAAATTTGCGATCGCTTTAAATTCTTAAAAAAGCATAACATGGACAAAATACTGATGAAAGCTTTAATAACAGGTCTATTCTGCGTTGGTAACATAAATTTTGTAACCGGTAATCAAAGTGTCTGTCAATTTTTAAACTTTTTTCGCATACTGTGCTCTCTTGTAATCGGTGAATTTGGTTACCATCTCATAAGCTGGTAACAAAATATTGCCCCGTGAAATTTGCAATACAAGAATTTCCACAAATCTTCATAGCTTCACTGTATTACCAACGTACCTAGAATCGCGGTGACAAGAACTGGTAACATTTTTTGGTAATAAAATTTTCCGGTCACAAAATTTTCGATAACGTGCAGAATACGCCTGTAAGTCACAATTAAAAGGACGAAACACGCTGGGTGAGAAAATTATGAGAAAAATTGCTTTCTTTCAATAAGAAAGCTGTGTAAGACCCATAAATTAGTTAACAGCCCGTTGAGTAGATATTCAGGGTAAACCTTTTTTAGTCAAAGGCTTATAAGAAAAAAAGAATTCGTGGCCTTAACGGGCTGCAGTGATAAAAGAGAAAGTAAATAAGAAAAGCAGCAGTTCCATAGTCCCCAAGATAAAGAATAATCCGGGCGCTAAAATGTCCTATATCTCCAGAGCTAAGAAAATTATTAAATGGTTCCAAAATGTTTCTCTCGCGTATAGGGTGTGATTCGTCAAATGTCAAACATTAAATTCTATTTTTCGATAAAGTGTCAAAAAAAAAACTGGAATATGTATCGTGCGTAGGATTGCTGGTGAATGCTGCCCCAATAGCTCTTCATTGTGGGCAGACTGTACTCCAAAAAGTCTTGGTTAAAAAAAAAAATAGCAAAAGCACTTAAAACACGCATTTCTTTGTTTTTACCCAGTAGATAATTTCAGGGGCTAAAAGCCCTTCCGAAAGGCGTTCCTGAGAGTCAAGAGGCCTTCTACTTCGCATTCCTTTAATTTTTGTATGGTGTGGCACAAGTTGAAGGACTTCTTCTTTCGCTTTTCAGAACGGCTTTTTTGGGACAAACCTATGAATGCCTTTGTGGAGGGGGCAGTTTTCTAAAGCTGCTTCTTTAATTCATAAAAATTATAATATTACTTAAAGTTCATATTAATTTGATTTACTGCATATTAAAATTCATTTTTAATGCTAAATAATAAACTTATACATTCGCGTAAATTGTAAATAAGAAAAGCCTGACGGTAAGCACTTTGTTCAGCTATTCTTGGGTAAGCCTTTTAGAATGGCTTCACTTAACAAGGCATACCTAAATTATCTTCTGGGTAGTTTACTAAAAGTTTCATTGTTTTGTTAAATTTACAGATCCCAGCTGTAAAGTTCATTTTTACGGTGAATACAAACCGAGTTCGATAATTAAGAGATATTTCGTTTTTCAGAACGTCAAAATGAAATTCAATCAGATCTAGATTCATTTCCGAATTCCCTTTCATTCGGATTCCAGTAACTGCTTGAATATCTTCAATTAGTTTGTGTAACAACATCAAGACGCACACCACAAAACGAAGGAGAAGCTTGGCCGATCACTAAACAAAATATTATTAAGTATTGTTGTTTGGTCATAAATAGGGCTCGAAATCTCATGCAAATGCATGTTTTTATTGGACATCTTCAAATGGAAATGGTTAAGTTATCTCACGAATCATGAAATTTCCTTTAAAATGGCATTCAATCGTTAGAGCACATTTTTGCATATTTTGCAAAAAAATATCTGATTTTGCATATTTCTTGCCCATATTTTAGTATATTTTACAATAAATGCATGTGGTTTTTGCATATTTTTACTTTTTATGATTACAACCATTTAAATTTAGTGCGAAATAAATGAAATGAAATCTCTTGACAAAAAAATTCCCCTCGACAAAAAAATTGCTGTGAATGCACTCTCTTCTACCTCTGTTGGATCTCAACTAGTGGAATACTGTAGGAGAGAACTGGCCTATACCCCTTACCGTAATTTGGGTCCTGGGGCATAGGGACATTTACGGAAACGTGGCAGCAGACGAACTAGCAAGGTGCGGCTCCGTACTGAATGTGTCACTCGCGGTGGACATGAGCGCCTCGCTCAGAAAGAAAAGTAACAATTAACGAAATTTATCACTCGAAGGCCAAGTAGAGGTGGAACCGTACAGGATTACCTGGCAGTTCTGGGTGTCCTACGACCCACTTAAAACCAAAGTTCTCTTAAGAATAGCAAAGAAGATACCTACAAAGTTGCTGCAGTGTGCAGTACCCTGACTGGCCCGTTGGGGTACATGCTGAAAGGATTGGATTGCCTTTCAACAGGTTCTGTCGCAGTTGCGATGACCGACTTAAAAGATACAGTCGAACACTTCCAGCCCTCGCAAGGATACGGCTAAAGACCCTCTGCAAGCCATTCCTGCAGAATGTTTTAGAGTGAAGCTGCCTATCTCTATATGACGCATTCATTAAAGCCGCCAAATGGCTGTAGGTTGCACGAGTTGTGGAATCCAAATGGCAAAATTTCTCAAACTATTAAACCAAGGCGAATTTATACAAGGTGGTGTTGGAAGAACAAAAAGAAATTATACGCACATTGACAATCAGTTCAAAACAAAATTAAAACAAACACATAATTTTGACTAAAGGTACAAATTCGCCGTGAAAATAGCGGCTCCGGTAACACCACCTTTTATAGATCCGTCTTGTATTAAACTGTCAGTGTTTCTATTTACATAAGATTGTAACTGACTGTGTGATTATAAACAAATTTTCTACATAAATATGTATGGCCGTTTGAAGTAAATTGATTTCGTTATTTTCTTGTTAAAATGCATGTATCATTTATTTTTGTACCGGCAATAAAATGTTAGGAAACTCTTTTTTATTGCATATTTTACTTGTTTAAAGCGCATATTTTTGAATTTTGAGTGCATATTGTATGCGCATGTTTTCGATTTTTTAGTGCATGAGATTCCGAGCCCTAGTCATAAACAAAGCAAAGCGAGGATAGTTAAAAGTTCGTAATAACTTTAAATATGTTAGATCAATAAGTTCAATATTTCGGTAAAAAACATCTATTCTTGGTGGTTNCTAGTCATAAACAAAGCAAAGCGAGGATAGTTAAAAGTTCGTAATAACTTGAAATATGTTAGATCAATAAGTTCAATATTTCGGTAAAAAACATCTATTCTTGGTGGTCACTTTCTAAAATTCAAGATGTTTTTATGAATTTTTCATATATGAATCGGTTAAGTACCACGATAATATTTATGTCAGCATTTTCTCAATACGACAATTTTGATGCAGCTCGGTTCGTTTAAAAGAGCTTTGTTGAACTGCATCAAAAATTGCCATATCAGGAAAATGCTGACTTATTCCCTTTGGTAATTATCTGATTCATATGTATAGGTGGCGCAAAATTAATCATCCAATTTTGTTTCTGAATACCTTTTTTTACTAAATACATAACAAAATAGAATTTGTGTGATGAAAATCTTCATTTGAACCTTTAAAATTTTTCCTGTTAAGTGGAAAAGGTGATATCCGTCATCGACTTACATCACTTTTGCAACTTTAATTTATACAAGGTGGCGCAAAATTAATCAACCAAATTTTATTTTTGAATAAATTTGTTTCTAAAAAAAAATTATTTTGAGTGAAAGAAATCTTTAGTTGGACCTTTACAATTTTTTCTGTTAATTGGGAAAAATGATGTCCGTCAAGTGACCACTATTGATACATTTTCCATAACTTCGCAAGATTTCCGGTGATAACTGTTCGCCTTTCTGTCGAATATTCTCCTTAAGGGCTGCGATTTTCTGAGGCTTGTTGGCACAAGCCCACGACTTGAAGTAGCCCCAAAGAAAGAGTTGACTAAGAAGAAGGGTGATTAATTCTGCGCCACCTTGTGCATAAATATACATATCGATGGGTAGAGGATCGACCTATCTCGACAGCCTTTTCAGGAACTCCCATCGTCAGAATTTGATTGAAGAACGCCCTATTTCAGAATTTTATTGAAAACACCCTATCTCAGAATTTGGCTGGAGAAGCGCCCTATCTCAGAATCCGGTTCAAAAGCGCCCTATCTCAAACGAAAACACATTGAAAATGTGCTGAGATAGGGTGTTTTTCGAATCGGCAGCTGAGATATGGCGTTTTTGAACCGAATTCTGAGACATGGCGTTTTTCAATCAAATTATAAAATAGAGCGTTTTTCAACCAAATTTTGGAATAGTAGGGCGTTGTCGAAAAATTGTCGGAGTTAAGGCGTTTTCAAACTGGCTACCGATATAGGTCGATCTTCCACTCGAGCCATCGATATACAGTGTATGGGGATTCTCATTTCACAAAATAACTGGTTTCTACTGAAATATTTATCACATTTGTATTTTTTAGGGTGGTTCACTTGAGCGCTATGTACTGGAAGCAGATCGCGAAGCAATTTGTTCTCAACTTAATGATCTCGAAAACTGGTTGTATGAGGAGGGAGAGGATTGTGATCGTGAAACTTATGTAAACAAACTAAAGGGTCTCCATGCCCAAACTGATCCAATTAAAGAACGCGCCAACGATTATGAAAACGCTCCAGCTGCTTTCGATGAACTAAATCACAGCATACAGGTGGCTCGAGGTGCTATCAATGAGTTCAAAAAGGGCGCCGCAAAGTATGATCACCTAACTGAGGCCGAGTTTTTGAACATTTCTGAGGCAACCGATAAAGCGCAGAAATGGCTGGATAGCCACATGAACAAGTTTACACAGACACCGCGAATGCACGACAGCCCCGTCAAAGTGGCCGACATACGCCATGAAGTACAGACATTGAATTCGTGCGTCAATTCGGTGATTAATCGTCCCAAACCAAAACCAGCTGCGAAACCAGCACCTGCGAAAGATGCCAATTCGACAGGATCGAGCGAGCAGAATGGCGAGAATGCTGACAAAGAACATGAAAAAGCTACTCCAATGGATGATGCTACTATGGACGTAGAGTAAATAGATGTTATTTGCTAATATGGTGGGGGTGTTCTTAGAAAGTAAGTCCTGCCCCATAAATAGGAAAACAGAAAATTTAGAACGAACGCGGGGCTTCTTTTGTTTCCGTTACACATACACACAATTCGTATAATTATGGGAGTTTGGAGAACATGGAGAACAAACGAAAAATAAGAATTACGAAGATATATTGCAGTTAAGGGCAATGAATGAATATTATCTCTGAAATAAATCAGGAAATGAAACAACCAGCAAAATGCCGTGTAGATTCTGTTATTTACATGAAAATTCAATTGAAAAAATATCCCAATATACATACAGTCAATCAATAAAGTTTAGGTACACCGATTTTTTTCCTATACGGGCAACAGTTTTTTAATTATTTTATTTTTCGCAATTTTTTTAATAAAAATATGGTTAATTCCACAACATACTCAGTTTTTTTCTAAAGAGTGTAATTAATAAGTGTAATATTTGGTGAAAATTTGCGGAATTTTCTTTAATTTTGCACAAGGTTTGGAGCTCGGATTTTTGGGGTCTCGGTTGTTGAATTAACCATATTTTTATAAAAAAATTGCGAAAAATACAATAANTTTTTTCTAAAGAGTGTAATTAATAAGTGTAATATTTGGTGAAAATTTGCAGAATTTTCTTTAATTTTGCACAAGGTTTTGAGCTCGGATTTTTGGGGTCTCAGTTGTTGAATTAACCATATTTTTATAAAAAAATTGCGAAAAATACAATAATTAAAAAACAGTTGCCCGTATTGCTAAAAAATCGCTGTACCTAAACTTTATTGTTTAACTGTACATACAAGACAAAAAATTATAACTTTAATTTGTACTAATTGCTATACAAAAGATGTAAAAATAGCGACATAATATTTCAAAATAAGTCGATCCACTAGCACAACCCAGATACCATATTATAACTGCTTAGGCGAAGCTACACATTCTTATACATTGGTTCACAGTAATGCTTTCTAACTTATTATTTAGCCTAAACGGGGTTTTCTATTGAAATTAAAAATAAATATGTGCTAATTTTATTAATCAAAATTAAAACTAAAAAGCCTTTTTGACTGGAACTATCGTTATAATGATTTCATAGAATCTTCTTCACTCAAGTCAAGTCTGTAAGTATTAACAACTGTACGAAGAACGCGGTAATTGGGTATCTTATTGAATCCGTCGCAGTTCAATTTACGTGAGATCTACGAAAATGAAACGGATGTATTCAAAGCGTATACTACGCTCGTCAACTATTCGGATTTAGTGATAACTTTTTCCCAATTTTCACGAAAGATCGGATTACGATGGATTCAGTAATTGACCCCAATTGTTAAACAGTTAGACATACATAAGTTGAAAAGAAATTCAACAATTTCCTTTTGAAATAATTTATGAATTATCCTAAAAAGAATACTAAGGTTTGACTTAGCCGCATTTTTAGAATGTAACACTATTTATACATATTTGGATGTCATTTCCATTTTTTCTGCTATATAGGCAGCAGTTGAAATTTGAAAAGGAGACTTTAACAATGCCGTTGCTCACTTATATGTATACTTGTATTACTTCAGTAGTGTCATGACTCAAAAAATTAAAACTTGAGAAAAACGGCTTTAAAGTTTTGAAATTACATATACACCGCCCGAACAAAGTATTGGCACAGCAAATTTTTCACAATATATGCAAAAGTTTTCATTCTAATATTTTTCCACTGATTTCGTATAAAAATATGTTTCATTCTACAACAAAAAACATAAAAATATAATTCCTAAACTTTGTGCAAAACTCGCGAAAATTCAGCAAATTTTCATGAAAACTTTAAATTTTGTAAGAAGATTTTTTAGAATTTGTTTGAGTATGCAGATTTGTAGCCCAATGAATTTTATTATAATAAAGTGCAAGATTTAAGTAGGAAGGAATTACCGTTGATTTTTGGCATTTTTTTCCACGCAGTCTCTTCCATACAACAATTTTTTTTCGAAAATACTTTATATGGAAAAAATGCAAAACACCTTCAACAAAAAAAATACTCAAAAATCAACGCGATTTTTGACTAACTCCTAACTTGCATTTTATTACTAGAACTTATTGGGCTGCAAAACTGCATACTCAAAAAATTCTCAAAAATCTGATTAAAAAGTTGAAAATTTTGATGAAAATTTGCTGAATTTTCGCGAGTATCGCACAAAGCTTAGGAATTATATTTTTGTATTTTTTGTTGTTGAACAAACCATATTTTTATACGAAATTGGCAAAAAAATATTAGAATAAAAATTGTTGCATATATTATGAAAAATTTGCTGTGCCAATACTTTGTTCGGGCGGTGTACTTCCAAGTAAAAATGAATACATCAGGCAAGTTCTGCAATTCACTTCCGAGCGAATTTCAATAAAACTCGCTTTGAATTCCAATTGAAATCGGGTTGAAATTCACTCGGAAATGAATTGCAGACCTGTCCGCATATTTTGTTTCAGTGAGATACTGGTAATCGATACAGCTATGAAATTTTCCCACAACATAGAAGAAGAGGTTGCGGTAATTTCTGCATACTCAACTCAAAGTTTATATTTTTTGGATTATGAAACTATTGAAGTAAATGAGCAATATGTTCGCATTATAAACCTTACCCCTTTCACTTAACAATTAAGGGTATCTTAAGTAAAAGGCTTCGGTATTAGTTTCTGAGACTTTGTTGATTTTTCAAATAGCAAACTTTAAAAGGTGGATTAAATTGAATTTATAAAGGAATAAACTTAATCTAAAAATAAAAAAATCGAAACAACCACAAAATCTTTGTTTTATCTACTACAATCATGGTTAGTTTAGGTCCAATTAGCGGGTGCATCTGCCTAACAAAGCACGAACAATCAGCAGCTAGTTGCATTCCCACGACAGCCGGTTCTACGTACCGGAATGACTCGGGTTTTACCCGACCAAGGGCTGTTGTTTCGGCGATCTAACCCCGTTTAGGTCTTTAACACCACACATCGGTCTCCCAAGGCACACAAATTACAATTTAACTGTAACGGACTCCAGAGCAAGATCGAGGAGATAACTGTCTTTATGGGAAGGCATGGAATATTAATAGCTGCGGTCCAAGAGACGAAGTTGCACGGCAATTCAATCCTGTTGAATT